GAAGAATAATAGTGCAAAAACCAAGGAGGCTTGTTGACCAGTCAATGACAGCAGGCATTTCTCTTCAGAGTATGGGAAGAGCTGGAGAGACACTGTACAATCACTCAGCCAGAGATCACAAAGCAAGCACAAATGGATGTTGACTGAAAGCAGCTGTACATAACCTTGAGCATCAATTTTAATGAGGGAAGTGGATGAAGTACTGCTGTGGTCTTGTTCTATGAAGTCCATCAAATTTCCTTAAATAAGGTAGCTACGGCCTGAAAGGACTTCCAGTGCAGGAATTGGCCTGTGTATCTCATCTTTCCCAACTGAAACACTAATGTGAAAATTGCTTTCATCAAGCTGTAACAAAGTCTTTCATAAATGGGTCGTTCTTTCCTCTTTAACTTAGTGTGAAGCTCCAACCAAGACTGTTGAAATTAACTGTTATTAGAATAAAAGTGGAAAGGACAGGGAACAGTTTGAGCAGATAAATTCTAATGAGAGTTGCAGGTATCTCTAAGATATCTCCTTACAATTGTCCTGAGGATTTCTTTTCCCATTCTTAATCACAAGGCAAAGAATCATGATTTTGTTTCTGATCACAATCTATTTTTACTGCTATGGGAACAGAGCACCAGAGAAAGAAATTTCACCTTTCCCTGGAAAGATATATCTTCATTTCTGGTTATAAGGGCAGAAAGAAACTGTCAGACCTTCTCACCTTCGAAACATACTTCACTGTATGAGCAAGTTAATTTTCTACTTACCCTCTCATGGGACACTGAGGGTAGAGACAGATTGGGAGATTTTCCTGCTGGGCGAGTCTCAGAGAGAGCGGAGACTGGGCCTACGAGCTCCTCAGCCTCCCTTATGGAATCTCGGATAGAATGGGGGATAGAAGTCGCATTCCACTTGGCAAAGCAAGAGTTTGTAGTCTGGGAGCAAAAATGGGATAATTTTTCTTTGCGGCAAACTGTAAAACCGCTTTATTTAAAGAACATCTCCTGATCTTTCCTGCATGTTGTTTTGGCTCCACTACCACTGAGGAAGTGCCCAGTAGATATATCTACTGTAAGTAGAACTGTCCTTAAGTCTGGCTAAGCTTCAGTATTACATCTTAAGCCCTCAGATACCAGCACGAGGGCTTAAATAGAAAAGAAATAAAAAAATTAAATCAAGAGCCAGTTCAATAATTGAAGAAACAAGGGACAAGAAAAGAACTAATGAGAAACCAATAAATAATTTCTAAAACAAAGGATCCTGGACTAGCAAGTTGGTTTCTATCAGAGGTAAAACTTTTGGTAGAAATGAGTGTTGAAAGGAGGGCTTTTAACACTGTACTTATGTTCTTATCTTTCTCAGCTTCAGCAAGAGGTGCATTGTGTGATGGCAGAGATTAAAACAGCAATTGTGTTAAAGGAAAGCACTTAAAGGAAAATAGGTCCATTAATAAGAAAAGATGAAATAAGAATTCAATATTGGCCAGCTCGCCAAGCTCATTTTCCATTTCAGAATACCCAAAAGAAACGCATTTCATAAAGACCTATATAACAGTATTTTAAGGTAAGAACACAATTAATTTTTTTTCCTTGGAGTAATGAAATGCCTATGCTTTTTTTCTGAAACTACATTGAAAAATAGGAATTGCCACATGGAATGAGTTATTATTTCACAGTGGCTAGGATTAGCTTTCTCAGAAGAAATAAAGGGGAAGTCAATGAGGATAACTGCCACAACAATAGTTTTTCTTTCTTTTTCCTTCTTCCCTAGATAGAACAAATGCTGTTGTTCCACACAAGCAGGCTGTGTCAGCTGCTAAGTTTCTGTCTGTCTCTCTCACTGCATTGAGTAAATGTATAGAAACAGATCTAAACCTCGGGAAATCAAGCAGAAATGCGATCAAATATCATGTATTCTATTCACACCTCTTTTATGTAAAATATCTTAGAGTATTAGCTTATAAAAACACAAAAAATCCCTTGAAAATTGAAAACAATGAGCAGACTGAATCCGCTCGAAGTTCAGTATGTGTCTTCTGAGCTATTGTGCTCTGAGGACTCCAAACAAACTCCTTACCTGCGAAGTTTCCGAAGGAGTAGGGTAGATGGCACTGCAGGGCCTCTCTCTGGGAGACAGGCAAGAGTTTTCTCGGGAATGCTTATGTTTGTCAGACAACAGAGGAGAGGCTAGAAATAAATGTGTCGAGTGATTAAATTCATTCAGTGAAACATTTCAATTCTATGCTTATGACAAAGAAATCCTCTGTCCCCAATAATTCATATTCCTCAAATAATTGGCTAAATTTGATGTTTGACCAATGCTGTCATGCAAACATTCAGCTGCGTAATGTATCAAGTATAATTTAATATGGTTTTCCATAAGTGATGAGCACTGACCTCTGGCACTGGATGGAGCAGAACTGGTCACGTTAGGTGAAGCAGAATGAGTAGAACTCAGGCTTGAGGTAGACGGACTAGGCTGCATATAGAAGAGATACTGTTGTTACCATATCACACTTGCTAGTTTGGAAAACAAAAATTTATAGCATACTTTTCACTAGAACAAAGAACTTGTAATATCTTAGAGTAGATTATCAGTATTTCTAAATAGTGAACCAGTATAAAGAGAATTAAACTAATTACACAAGATGTAGTAAAACATTGAATAAATATAAATATAATTAATACAGTGAAACAATTACATCCCACTGTGACAAGTGGACAGAAAGGTCTATGTAAGGTCAGATGACTTTGCATCATAGTCCACTCATTGCTCCTTATTACATTTGTAAAAAATTAATGCTTTGATCTAAACAAGAGAAAACAGTTACATAAAAAGTTATTTCTAAGTTAATGAGGTTAAAAGCCCATTTAAAGATTTGTTTTTTAAAACATCAGCAATAATGTTGAGATTTCTGAATTAAATAACAGAACCATTACTTTACTAAATAGCCCTGTAAGAAAGATTCTGTATAGCTTGAAGAATCACAGTAATTTGTACCTGCATGTTAAAAACTTCATCTGAGCTTTCTGACTGCCCAGTGATATTGCTGACTTCAGCAGAAGCTTGGGATGACAGTGATGAGGATGAATACCGATTGACAGCTGGGTAACTCAAGGGGCTAATATAAGAATAAAGAAATACAAAATTTTTAACTCTAATTGTCAGTCATAACTTCTCATGGGAAAACAGCACATGTTTACTAATCTTTAAAGTTCATTTGGGGATTGCGGGGGGAGGGAGAGAAAGAGAGAGAGAATATAAATACCAGCTATTCATGTCTGAAGATATTTCAGGCAGATCATACAAGAAAGCATGCACATAACAGAAGTATTTTATGGGTTATCTTCCATTAACAAAAGCCAGTTACTAGTATTTTAACTTGCCTGCGTCGTGGTATTACCCTGGCAGCATCAGGGCTCATAGAAATAGGCATGGAATTTCGGCATACACGAGGACTTCCATTTGGAAAATGAACAGGACTAGCTTGTACACAGGCAGAAAATTCCTGGTAAGTTATCAAAAGAAGATTAATTCAAACAAACATAATACCATTAAGCATTTTGTAAGATACAGAAAGTAATTTCAATAGTTATATCTGCATTTTGGATCACCTTCATCATTAGTATGAAAAATATTTTAACTTTTCACTGCTGATAGTAAAACGTGAGTACTTTTCTCTGCACAGTACGGAAAGTTTATGTTTCTCTTCGCTTTGTGGTTCTGCAAGGCTACAAGCTGTAACGTGGACAACCAACCAGAAGATGTCACTGTTTGCTGCTTGGGAAAATGAAACGATCCTTAGTGCAGCTGAATTCTCTCCTGGTCTATCCATGCAACTGCTCACGTACCTGTATTCCCAAGCTTGACTTCATCACAAAGAACTGATCCACCAGCTTTTTGTGTAGCGGCCTCATGTCCTGTGGCACCACCTTCTCGTGCACAGCCAAGCCAAATTCTAGAATTTGAGCCTGCAGTGAGGGAAAAATACATTTTTGATACATTTTCTGTAAGCTTTCATCATCAACCAGGATACTAATAAAAAAAAAATCTAATAAAATGCACATTGCCTTAAGAGCATCAATCTAACTGCCTGAAAGTCCTGTAATCAAACAAGGCCTAGGACCAAAAGCAGAAACACACAAGAGGATTTACGCCCCTTCCCATTTACTATTCAACTTTCCCAAAGGTTTCACCTATGCAAATTCAACTCCAATATAAAATCCACTATGAATAATATAGTAAAAAATCTGGCTAAATAGTAGCTTTAAAAAGCAGCAGCTCTAAACCTTAAATAAAAGCTATTTTCTACAAGAACATTTGTAAAAAGCATGAAACCACAGCAATAGCCACATCTACCAGAGACCCTGTAATACATTTGCAAGGAAGTCCATGGCCTCCTTTCCTATTCCAACTCCCCAGAGACCTCTGTAAGTCATGGCTTTATGTATATTCTTGACACAAGGCATGACAGGCTTCAGAATAACATTACTGAAACTCCTAATCTTGTTCAAATTTGGCCATAGGCATCCAAAATATTGAACTGGTTTCATGAGGAATCAGATGAACTCAAAAACAAAATAGCTAGAGTATGTTGTAATATCTTTGGATGAGAGCTACTAGCTGACGTTTTCAGACAGTCTGCGAGTAGGCATGCAGCTGCACAGCATCACTGACCCAAGGTCAGGACTGCAGCACATCCATCCACATGCACAGCCATCCCAGCCCTTCTGAATCTCCATGTTAAATCATCTGTGGGTGCCAGATAGGCTTTAACCGCTATTGCTTGGAATTCAGTTTTGTCACAGGAAGTTATTAACTCCAGTTTTACACTGTAAAGGTTAGTGAGATTAGCTATAGCTTGAATTGCAATTAAAAACTGCAATTTAAATTACTGTACTTTATCTAAATGAAAGTGAGCTCATTGAATCTATTCTGACTTATACTGTCTGAGGATCTGTCATTCAGCTGATCTAACAAAAAACATACCACATGCTGATGAAAAGTGGAATTTCCATCTTGCCAAATTCCAATACTCTGACCTTTTTATCCTAAACTGGCAATAAAATTTGAAATTTCAACATGCTGCATAGAACAAAGATAGGTAATGGTCAGTTAAAAAAGCCGAAATACTTCGTAAGGTCTTTGATTAAAAAAAAAAATGTTCAGCATTTTCAAATGGAGATGCTTCATATTTGAGGCTGGAAGGTCATTGTCTTACAAAGTAACGAAGAAATAATTAAAAAATTATGTAATGCATAGAATACTCCTCTGTTTAATATAATCACTTGGCATTTATTTTATTGCCTACCTACTTTGCCAATTATCATTAGATAACTTTCATTGAAATAAGATTTTTTCATGCCTTTTTGCTCTTATGGCAAACCTTGTAGTGAAAATATTTGTTCTGTAATATTGGTAAAAAAGAAATATTTGCTGAAGCCATCAAATGTTTCAATGAAAGTTTCAATAAATAATAATTTTCAATATTTTCAATAAATAATAAATGTTTCAATAGTGTTTATTCTGTAGTAGTGATAAAATATGTTGTGCAAATATTTGTGTATGAGCATGACAGAACAGGCCTCTCATTCAACTTTTAATTTCGAATAGTTTGAAGTAATTAAGGTGATGATGGAAAGGACTAGAGAAAAAATATTAACATCGCTCAGAAACCTGCTTGCATAGAAAGTTACTGTCTACTTAAAACAGCTTGAGCAGGCCACCTAGTCAGTCTTTTCCCCACTGTACCTGCTCGAGCATCAGCTCTCTCAAGCGTGTGATCTTCTCTCCATCCTCTGGATGGTTCAAGATGTATTCTTTGATGAAGAATGCCTAAGCAGAATAAAATCACAAAGTATCAAAGTGAGTAAAAGCACAACTCTTTCAGGTTTGGGGTTTTTTTTTAAAACAAGTTTCTATGTAATATTTTCATATATTTTTAAAGTTTCTTTCTACTGCAATAATGGATCATACATGTTAAATAATTAATTATCACAAACTAATTGGTGAAGATTATAGGCAAAAAATGTAGCCTCTCTTGAGTGGCATTTCTAAGTTGTTTAGTATCCAGGACAGACCTGAAGCAAATTTTGAAACCTGCAACAAACACAGGTTACTTGAACCAAATATCTCTTCCCCAGTAATTGTGACACAGAAGTTTCAAATAATTACAAAGAGTTTGATTTTTCCTCTCTTTTCATACTATGAGCTTCCTTGTTCTTAAATGTAAAGACAACAACAGCGTGGAATTGTATGCTATTACATGTATCAGAGCTGTGACATTATCTTCTTGTTCACTTAATATAAATAATGTTCTAAAGAACTCACAGTGATCATCTGACCAACATCCACGTATGTTTATGAGCTTACATAACTTTCCAGTCCATTTTCAATGCTCAAATTGCACCAGCTATAGTACCCCAAAGTCATTTTACCCACCTGCAATGGTCTGGTCATAGTACTCCCCCTCTTTGTTCATGATTGCACCTTTCTTAACATAATGACTATTCTACCCTGCAGGGGGATTATATTGAGTTTACAATTCTTGACACTATTCTGTAAATAAAATGCCCAGTAGCTTATTTGAAAGATTTCTAAAGCTTTTAAAAAATGCGTTTGTCACAAAAAGTGTCTCTAAATATATCTATACATACATACACATGGCTTTCCATCCCCAGAGTTGAGAGGATAATAGAGGCCACTCTGGGCTATGTTTTCCTTTTGCACCTGTCTTAGCATTTCCCTCATAGACTTCTCACTGAGTTCTCCATCTAACTTTAGCTCTTAAAATCTTTGCTATCAGAAGCATTTATAAATATGGGGAGCAAAACTAGAGATAAATATATGCCTTCCTCTGATTAAGTTCCAAGATTTCACGCTGTGACAAACCGTAACAAGAAAGTACCGAGACCTACTTAGGAAGCGCTGATACCATGAAGAACAATATTTATTTCACATAGTCCTTTTGCTGCAGATAAGTAAACTACAAAAACTCAGGTTTAAGTTGTTAGAAGGAATCCTCTGATACTTGCTAAAATCCTAAACCCCAAACTTCTGCCAGCTGATGAGGTTTTTTTCCCCTCAGCTACAACCTTAGTGTTCTAATATTGAGCAGGTGATGTCCCAGCAGTTTTGGGCTGAGGTTTATAGAGATCTATACTGTGAGTTAGAGATGTAATAATCTAACTTCAAACAAAATTGCCAGTACTTATCAGAATTTGACTAAATTCAGTAACATTTTTGGAACCAGTGGCTTCCAATAATTAATCATGAAAGGGCCTCTACTCATCTAGCACATGTAAAAGAGTGAAAAGAAATGTAAGTTGTAGTACAAATTGCAGTTGAGAGGTCTTAGTGGGCATCAAAACAGCTCTTCATGTTTTTCCAGCAGAATTTAGAATTTTTTTTTAAAAAAATCAGTGGTTCAGTCTTTTTAGCATACATAAAGGTGCTGCATAATAACTATAACTTCTGTAAATTTTCCTGGAGTCTGTTCTTGTATTGAATCTAGTGAATGTATAGCTTTAATATCTGCAATACCAAAGTGCTGGATAATTAGAAAAGCTGCTTGTTTTTTTTGTTTTTCCCCATCAGGAGGGGCGGGGGGGGGGGGAGGG